AGCCTGGTCTGAGGCCCATTTCAGTCTAGTTGGACCTTCAACATGAACTGAGAACCAGGCTACATCCATTTCAATCCTTTTTTTTTTTTTCAAAGAGTGAGTATTAGGTATAAATACCCTTGTTATTTGTAATATTTTATTTGTTTGGATAAGTATTATATTTCAATTATAAAGGAATTGAATAAGTAATGAGAATGAGAGTAGTATATTCATAAATATCAAGTCAAATAATAAACATAAGGGTTGAGATTTGTCTACTTGACATATTTAATCAATTTCTTTAACTAACATATTATCCATACTAATATAATTAAAATTTTACTTATGTTTATTATATTTAATATCTATATAATAACAATAGTTTTAAAAAATAAAGATAATAAAATATAAAAATAAAAATAAACATCAAGTAAGGGTTGCAAGCCAACAAAATCATATATGCAAAAATAATAACTTGAATAAATAACAAATCATAAGTTAAAGATGTGACATATACAGAGCAATAGCCACTCATAGAGCATCTTTTCTTTTTTAAAGTTAGGTACATAGATATATACTCATAAACTATCTAAAATTTATTAGGTTAGACACCAAATATAAGTTTTTAGGTTTTTACATAAATAATAAATCTAAAAAATTATATCAAAAATTTTTTAAGTAAACTATCAAATAGACTTCATACCCGTCTTGCACCCGCAAATGCTTACCCCTATTTATTTCCAACTGCAAGCTTTAACTAGCTACTGCTTCCTCTTCTTCTTCTGTCTGTCTCTGTCTCTCTCTCTCTATTTTTATTTTTAATGACTTGAATTAACTTTTGGAAGCAGGCAGTTTATTTCATTATAGGAGCTTTTTTTTTTTCCTTTTTGTTAATACTAGGGTGGCCGTATAGACTATAGAGCATTGAATTCATCTTTTGTGGATAGAGAACAGACATATTATTAATTGAATATTATAAGCTTAGTACAAAAGAATTATTTGGAGTTTTTATGAATTATATATATCTATGTGTACGAGTATAGGTAAATTCAAACTCTAATAAATTTAGCTTAATTATTGGTTATAGTTCAGACTTTCCATCTCATTTCCTTTTGCTTTTGTTTGATAATCATACACAACCATTTCCCATGACGTTTTACCCACCACCAAATTGATTCTTTCATGCAAAAGCAGATGGTACCGTGTAGCAGGCAAAGAATTCATTGCAATATCACATCTTTTTGCTTTTGCACCAGAAAACTGATCTTTAATTGCTTGATCATCTTGCACCTTGCTTGTAATTTAAGGCTCTATTTGACAAATTTGTCATTGGCATTGAATAATCATTGTATAAAACTCCAATGGGGGAAAATTGTTGACCCCTAGAAAATGTTTGCCCATAGCTATATATGGCATGGATTGTATAAATTACTCCCCCCAAGACATCAAAATGCTGTAGTTTGCAGCAATTATAAAGAGTGTTTAACTCAAATAGTTGACTTTTAGTAGCTGTTTCATTTTGTAACCGTTTAGATTCTCAATAGCTGTTAGTTTCTTGACATTCGTTGATAAAAAAATTTACTCTGAACACATTTAAATAGTTGTTTAAGAGCCAACAGCTATCAGTAGCCCCCTAAATACTAAAAGAAACGCCTCCTATGGCTTTAATTCTTGCCTTAGTTTTGGCACAACAGAGTCTGCTACTACCGGCCTGCATGGTCGAAATTAATGGAAAGCCTGTCGCCCCATGTGCCTCTCAACTTATTGATGTATAATCATATCAACTTTGATTTAGGATTTTGAAAGTTATACTCTTTTTTTTATAGAGTATCTTGATTTAAGATAACTTAATTTGTTTATTACTCTTTTTATTATCATTTTTTGATCGTTGACATCTTATCTTTTAGTCTATTCAACTCGTTTGTGATGCAATTCAAATTTAAAATATTTTATTTTTAATAAAAAAATATTATTATTAAATTATTTAAGTTATTTGCACTTTCTCTATTATATTGAAATAAAAATTTATTCTTGATACAACCATCATACTTTATTAACGCCATTAGTTAATGTCCCAAGATTTTAGTTTAGATGAGTTCACTCATGTTTATTGATTCAAATCTTTGCAATGTTATATGTATTATATTTTGAAGAGATTTTTTTGTTAACATCTAATTTTTTATATGATTTATTTTAAATTTAAAAAAAAAAAAACACGATAGAACAAGAAAACATATGGGAACATGCAATGGTAATTAGGTGGTCTAGACCAATCTATAAATTTCATTTCCAAATGGGACTGCCCCTCAACATCTAAAAGGACCCACTTCTTCCAAAGGAATTTCTTATAGGGATCTTCCATACCAACCATATCCATGGAAGGAGAGGGAAGGTCCACCACAACAATATACACCAAACTAGGGTCTCAATAATACAGCTAAATTAATCTTTCCATGGCACAGATGTTTGTTCACCCAAAATTGGTATCCAAAAGCTCAAAACCCCATACAAACAAACTTTTATCATATCATATGCCACCAACAATCTTTTATTTATAAATTATTGAGGGGATCAAATTAGTTAGAACTCAATAAATAAATCTCAATACATATATTTTCATATAATTTTGAATTCAAAAGATTATCTATTAAACTATTAGGAGTCTACTTTCGTTACATTTTCTCCTACGTGAACCTCTCAATATAATTTAACAAACAGCCAAACACGTCCTTATCACGGTTCCATCGTCTCCTTTCTCTCCATATATACACCAATCCCAAGTTCGTTATTATCATTATCTCCAATGTCTAGCTCTGGTTTCTCTTCATCTACTGCTTCACCTTCGTTGCCAGCGTCATCTCCGGTTACGGTTCAGGTGGTGTCAAAAGCTGTATCGGACCGACTCCTTGAGAAGTTCTTTGACGTGTCTGAATATGACTTTGATTATGAGAAAAGCGGGATTTGGTCTCCTCCGATTCAACGGAGCGCCTTCATGAGTTCACCGGGGAGGATATTCACTGAAGAAGACATGCTTGAAAGGCTCAGAACCTTGATGGACGATCGACCACGGCGAAAATGCAGTACCTGGTTCAGAGTATGCCGCCATTGCCTCTTAGTCCTTTATAGTTCTGTTTGTTCCGTTTAGTTTTCTGAATCAACCTAAGGCATTTAATCTACACCCTGTTTGAGTTCCATTTCTTTTGATGGTTTAATTCTTTGTTTTTCTTTATTTTTACAGGCATTTTCATGTTTTTGAAGTGAAATTGGTAAATGAAAATGGCATCAAGAGTAGGAAAATAATTTTCCAGGTTGGTTGATTAACTATGATTTTGCTCCTCACCTTCCCACCTTCTTGGAAAGGACAAAGAGGTTGCTAATCGAATTCAACTGTTCTAGTTTTTCTAGTTTTAGCGTGGATAACACATGTTTAACCAGATTAGTATTACACACGAGAAGAAAAAAAAAAAAGATGGAAAGCAAAGTCTTAACCATATACATTTTATGTAAATTTCAATCTCAAGCTGGTTCTGTTATTAGTACAATACCAAAATTATAGGCATGTTTCTGAATTAGTTCGTTTACATTGGAATTTCTTTCTCAAAGTTATAATTTGTTCCTATGGAAGTATTGATGGAAAGGAGCTGTTAAGTCATGATTGGATCACATGGAAATAATACACACACATAATGTGCTGCTCTGTTTTTGATTATTAAAAATCTCAAAATTAAAAAAGTAAGGGTAGAAAAGTTGCATGCAATTGTAAAGGAAATAACAGGCCAGCCTGACAGAAGAATTTGTTTTCTTTAGCAATCTGTCCAAATAGGGTATAAGATACTTTCAAAGACAACTGTTGCTGCTCTGCAGTCTGCACCATATGATAGCTCATTTTGCAGAAATGAAAAGGAATTGCAAAGCGCTTTCCAACCAAGTACTTCTTGCTTCTTTCTTCTAAAACGGTGAACTTCTCCAAATCCAATGTAGCCATATAAGTACATACAATTACAGATGGAGAGCTACATTAGCATGAGCAGATGACAGCATGGACCTCTCTACTACTAGCTTTGTTTCTAACAAAGATTCTCCATCCTCTCCCCTCCTTTCCCTTTGATTCCTAATGCTTTTCCTTTCTTTCTTCCCCTCTTTTCTCAAGAAACTAGATAATAAACATTGTATATGGCACCATCAATCTGACAGCATTTAAATTTGAATCATCACATATGACAATTGCAATGAATACCATACCTCTCATTTTCAATCTTAAGTATGAAAAATTGTATATGGTAACGTTTTCTAATAATATTAATACTTCAAAGATCTGTTCACTTTATTTCTATCATTTACTATCTGGACAATCTAAGATATTAACAGAGACATCCTTCATCTTGTTAAAGACTGCAAGGTAAGGTTGGAAATGGACCTGTGCATCAGACTGCAATGGGACTTTGTTCCAAAGCTTCTTTCCCTGTAATGCTGTCCTTCAACGTTTTGAAATATACATCATAGTCTTTTTCTGGAGGTGGGTTTTCAGGGTCAATTGTGAATGGCTCACTGAATGGAAGCACACTTTTGACCTGCAAGGATGAAAACAAAAATGGATATGAGAAATCACCAGCTGAATTCTGGGAACCTAGAGACTGAAACTCTAGCTAAAGTCTAAAATGTAGGGAGGACCAGAATGCTGAGTTTCTCCCACTAACCAAGCTCAGCCATACATTTATGAAACCTTCCATGCAAATGTAATTGCCCTTGTATTTGGACTATGAGATAGCATAAGAGTAGAACCATCTCAATTTCATTGTTTAACTAACCTCAAATGTCTTGTCACATGCAAATGGACTTCCCAAGGCAGCAATGCATATGCGAGCAATTTCTTCCCTTGATATCTTCCCCTGCATTGCCAGACAGTAGAGATTACTATGGTAAGAATAAGAGGTTCAACCACTTTATTTTGCAACCAAAAATTGGCAACATGATTCCAGTAGAATGGAAATTCTTCATTGGGGATTTTGACTTGAAATGAGAATAAGCAATAATGCAATATTCAAGTTGCACCCTGTGCAATACCGTTATGTTGTCTCCTTGATCGAAAATGAGATCTGCACCAGCAGGCTCCTCTGTTAGTGCACAAGGCCTTACAATTGTATATGGTATTCCACTTTCCCGAATTAAATCCTCCCCCTGTTCTTGAAAAGAAAAGTAAAACATAAGCTTCATAGCCATAGGGTTTATCAATTAGTTGCCACATGGTTTGAGGCAAATAAAAATGCCATGTTAAGGTTAAAGCATAACCTTCAATTTGAATGTGAGAATAAAACCCAATTCCTTGTTCAAGCGCACAGCAGGTGGTTGTTTACTAAGGTCAAGTCCAGGCCTATCTGGTCGAGTAACTCCGGCAGGGCTCACATGTACAAACCTGCAATAGATGCAACAATCATTATACTAGGATAATAGGATGGTAACAATTAACACTAACACCCCCTCTTCCCTTCTTCTCTTCCAGAAAAATTAAAGAAACTAAGGCAAAAGCATTAGCTTGGTCAGATCATACATAGGGCACAAAGAAGTGAGAAGTAGTAAACCTGGGAGTAATGGGATCCTTTAGATATGCCCGTATGCTTGACAAAGGAAGTTGAAATGGTCCCTCAGTGAAAGTGGGATTCAGTTTCCCATCAGATTCAAACTTGCTGAACATGAGCTGGAACAATTTTAATCCATTTTAAGATTTATGGTAAAAACAGATAAACCAGGAAAAGAGTAAACATAGACATGGTAACATGCCTGCAGTGATACAATATTGCTTGGATCAAAGGGTGGCGCATCAAACACAGTTGTTGCTCGAAATATAGGCCTCAATGAAGAGAATGGTATACGTATCTGTGACAAAACATAGACTACTAATTAGATTGAGAATGGAATAATCTAACAATGCTGATTAAGTCAAGCAGTACTCACTGACTGCCATTGGTCTGCAGCAGTATTAAAGCTAGCTGTATAGCCTACGGTATCCCACTCAGCGCTAGTGCGAACAATTAGCTTATAGCGACGACCATCACCTTTTAGCCTTAGCTCCAATCCCTCATATGCAGAGAGATCCTCAGGTTTGGCAAAATTCTGAATACAAAACAAGGTAACGTCCAAACCTTTTTCACATAGGAAACTTAATACCAAATAATAGCTCCTAAATCATCTATAAATAATGAATGTAATAAACCACATTCTCCAATAAATGTTGAAATAGGCCAGGCCATGAGCTGTGCAACACATATAGAACAAGAACACACAGAAATTAAGAAAAGCTATCTCAGCCTACCTTGGTTCTGATACTAGTAAAGCCACCCATGTTTGCAGTTGAAACAGTGCCTGATAACGATATATGTAAACTAAGTACGCAAATAAACAAAGACGTACAGAAGGAAAAGGATAAGTGTGGTCAACCATTGAAACTATCAGTTCTACGGGAACTACTAACAAGCTGATTGTATACTATAGACGCAAAGAGTAAGAGGCTATTAAGAGGACAAACCTTCAAAAAGGGCAGTTGGTCCACCATTCTCACCACCATTCCTATCTATCAGAAATGTACTTTCACTAACACCCCCCATTACAACATCATCTAAAGCTCCCCAAGCAAGTTCAGTGAAAGTACCATCTGCAAAATGCAAATTTAACATGAACAAAAGAATCTTAACTATAACTTTTTACTCTTGCATATAAGCAACAAAATTTGCAGAATCAGCAGAGTTTTGCTTGCCCAGACTCAAATACTACATCTTGGATGCAAGAAGTGTCCAATGCAAATTGTGTACTTAAGTTCAACTGAAGCAGAAAGATCTACTGACTTGATAGTGTTGTCAAATAATCACACATATCACAGCTATTGCCCTTGAGAAATGCGGTTGTATTGCAGCAATGACATAGTAAAAAATAACGCTACATGAGGAGATCAGAATTCCTTATGTAGTGAATTATAACAATGTGTTGTGGAACCCAAGCACACTTTAACTTCCGTTCAAAAGTAATCTTGCAGGTACACATCATAGAAGATGTTGATGTTAATTTGCACTGGCATGATAGTATACCTTCAAATCCAAAAAGCAATTTTCCATTTTGAAGTCCAACACTATCCTTCACAACATTAATCAAATTTTTCATGCCAACATACTCCACCATTTCAGGTGAATCACCTTTGATCTACTTCATCAAATGGAAAAAATGTCAGTAACTGAACCAAACTGTAAGCAAGCAAATAAATTTCAATTTGAACCGCTAACAAGAGATATTGTAACTCTAGAGAAACAGGAAAGCAATTAGTTCACCCACCTCTGGTTCAAAAAACTTGATTCCCTGTACCAGAAAAAATTTGTCTGTCAAGGTCCCCAACCAAGAAGAGAAAAGGCATCAAAAGTAAGGAAGGCAAACATAGAGTCCTTAAAACTTAAGAAATACTTGAAACCAGGCCAACTATGCAAGACAAGTCAAATGGATTTGCTTGAAAATGTACAGAAGCATACTTGACTGTACTTTGCTCTGTCAGGAGTGTCACCTTCCTTTGGGCCAACAATGACAGAAACAGCATTTATGACTTTCCTAACTCCTTTGAAGTACTTAGGATCCAAAGTGCTCCCTTTAGTAATGTCTCCAACAATCTATTATTTTGAGGAAAAAGAAAATGGGACAGAAATTAGCAAATTCTCCAAAATCTTTAAGATTGTGGAGAGGAATTCCAATAAATTTTTTCATAGCAAATATGTCATAGAAGTAGTCTATGTCATGATTAAGTTTTGCATTACTGTATATCATTTCTCACCAAAGCAGTTAATAGATATGTCTCATGTATCCATACCAGGCACCATGCAATCAACCTAAATTGAACAATGTTAACACATAAACCCATTTGTACCAATGATGGTTCTATATACATAGCCAAGATCATCTAAATAATCTATATTTGAAATCAGAGCAAAGAATTAGCATCCCTAAATTACAAAATCAAGAAATATATCTAATGTTTCATGCAAGGCCTTAACTACAAGTAGCTAGCTCACCAAATCAATATCTTGCCCTAACATCCTTCTTGCCTTCTCTTCATTTCTGACCTGAAAGTAGCCTCACATCAAAACACAACATTAAAAGAAGAAGAAGAAAATGGAGAAACATGAAAGAGTGCATGATAAAAACATTCCTAGTGTAAGAACTACATATACCAGTGCTCGAACAGGCAACCCTTTTTTCCGCAAGATGTCAACAACTCTTCTACCAACACCACCAGTAGCTCCAGTCACTAGAATGACATCAGAAGTTCCCATTCTCTTGGTTGACTCTTGGGGCGATGGACCAGATAATTTCTCAATTATAAATTCAACAAACTTCATATTCAATGAAACCGTGTCAGTTCATGCATAACAAACTTCATAACTGAACAAAATCAAAAGGTAGCACTCAAAGCTTGTACCTTTGCAGGAGAAGGAGGTCCATTGAAAAAATACAACGTCTTTAAAAATCTGCCCAAGTCCCAATTCTGTCTTCCAGCTTCAGCTGATACATGAAGTCTGGATCTTCTAGATGAAAGACAACCTAACCTTGGTTGGTAAAGAAACCTTGGTCTGTTATTAAGTTGAAGAAAGGGTTGAGGAAGTGGAGAGCACAGCAACTGGGGTTGTAAGCAATTCTTAGAAAACCTTCTACCCACATGTGAGGAACCACCCTGCAGTTAGTTAAACTTGATTAAGTTAAAGAATTCTAAATACCCACATTCAAATTGGCCAAAAAAACCAATAAAATAAAATCAATTAAAATCATATAAAAAAAATTCAGCTTCCATTACAGCATAACAAAATCTCCATTGTATATACATATAACATTACAAATAATACAAACTAACACCCCGAAGGGGTGGCTTAACGGTAATCTCAAGTTGGAAATCTCAAGCTTCAACCTTGAGTGGGGTGGAGGGAGATTTAAAAAAGGGGAGGACTATCCTTTCATAGGCATAATCAGATGTACCAAAATAATAATGATAATACACACTAACATACATGGAAGATGAAAAAATGGTCATATGGATTATGATTGACCTGGAAGTTGAGGGTGGAAGGGAAAGAAGAAGAACAACAACAACACTCCATATTCTCCAGGAATGGAATATCTGCTGGCAGTGCGAGTTCTGGATTGTTAGTTGTGGATATTTTGAAAGTGGGGGAAATAAATACAGATCACACACGTGGACTGTTGAACAGTTGTTGTCGGGTGAATTGGGGGAAAAGGCCCAGTTATGAAACCGGTGTGGGCTTCTTTTTTGAATAACAAAGGGGCCGAAGACTTTTAGCTATTTGGGTTTCTAGGATCAGACAAAAAAAAAAGGAAAAAAGGAAGTGCGTTTGCCGGGAGTCGAACCCGGGTCTATTGCTTGGAAGGCAATTATCCTAACCGTTGGACTACAAACGCTTGCTTGTTCCAACGCTGATTCTTAAATAACTAATTTATGGTATATCTAAAAAGGACAAAGAATTTACCATTTGCTATAGGAAAACAGTTTCCAAAACACTTACCAACTGAAAGATAAAATAATTCAGTTCGGTAGAAGGCCAAAAATAAATTGAAAAAAAAGTTTTGGTGTTATGTAATATCAACTATATTAAATTACAAAATACTAATAGTCAAATTATGAGTTTTGTCTTTGGAAATAAGGAGTTCATGGTCCTACTAATCTGGTGAGGAATGCACTTATTTTTAAGGAGTTAGGTATAATATTACCTCTTTTCTAAAAAAACTTTGATAATTTTAATAAAGCTTTGCAATTGTAGACTTTATTTATTAAAATAAAAATAATACACGGACCCTTAAATTGTAGACTCTATTGATTAAAAAATACAATACAGCCTATTTATTAATAGATTTTAAATTTTTAC